TGGAATTCTGTCTGAAGGGTTTTATTATATATGTTACCCTACAGATATCACCACTGGCCCCCACTGGAAGAAAAATAAGAAACTCTAATTTCTTATTTTGTTTAAAAGTATGGTTTCCTCAAATGATTTGGGTGGCCAAAGATTAATCTACGATGGGAAAGACCACCACTGGCCTATGGCCCACCTCCACCATTGTACCTGGTGGAGCTGGGGGGTGGCCAGTTGTCCACGGTTGCACTTGGTGGTAGATAAAATTGCTCCGCCTCATCCAAGCAAATAAAACCCTACCTCTTTTCTTATATAAAGTTTAACTTCGTATAAACGTGAAGGTCTTGCACCAAAAGGGTACCAAAAACTGCAAACATTCACTTTGAAATCCCTTGGTGACAGGGACACCGGCGTACTGCTTGTTTTCTTTTCCCCACCTTTCTTTCAATAAGTCCAGCTTATGGTGGTCCTGTGSACAGATCCATATCTCTGGTTGCAGGTTTGGTGCCATTTCATTTTGTTTTCTAATAATAGATTTGTCTGTGCTCTTTGGGATGACCAGGGGTGGGAATATATTTCCACAACTTTGTYTCTGAYCTGTGTCGAAAGTTCTATGGTCTTCATGATGTTTCGGTTGCACCTTAATGAAATATGACCAATAGTGGACTTGAACTGTCATATCCATTTGATTCTACCATTATAATCATATCAAAACAGTTACATGACCCTTCATTTCATGCAGTTTCATTTTAATATCAGTCTGTCTGGATTTTAAATATAGTTTGACAGCGAGTGACCTATGAACAGTGACGGCTGGTATACAGTAAGTGGGCTAGTAGGGCTAAGCCCTCCCTGGTCCATCCATCCATCCATTTTCGTGAGATAGTCATAATAATGAGATAGCTGAGTCATAATTATGAGATAGCTAAGTCATAATTATGAGATACAAGTTTTATTTTTAACAGGGTGGCGGAAATGGGCTTCCATACCAATACCATACTATTCCAAAACCTAGCTAAGTTTCTTAAAACAAAAAAGTGTGTTAGACCAGAACACACCAGGAGAAGCTTAAAGTAAAAGAGCTTGGACCAGATCTGCTGGACAAGAAAAGCAGCAGAGCAAAACAGAGGGAGAGTTTACACTCCATTATTTTCCAAGAACTGGATTAGCAACAGGCTAAGCTAACTGCTTTTAGCGAGGCTAATGGTTTGTTTTGATTCATTGCCTCGGTTTTAAAGCATCAGGATCAGCATGGATTTAAACAGGTAAGAAAAAAGCTAAAATACTTCTGTAATGCTTTTAATCATAGTAGTGCTATAATATAGTTGTGCTTTTAATCATAGTATAATATAGTTATATTGTTTTATAATTGTTAACACAGCTTTAAATATAATATAATATAATATAATATAATATAATATAATATAATATAATATAATATAATACCTTAGAGGTGCAACAGTTTGTTGTTAATAAATTAACATGTGTTTTCATAACTTCAGTTGTTTTCTATATATTGAATATTATAAAGTTCACTTGTAGCCATCTCCATACTGAATTAAACTTGTGCATTTTTTTTAGGTTTGTGACATCATCTTGAGCCATTCACAAGCATCTGATCAGAGCTGCAGGCAGAAGTTCCTGCAGGTCTCCACTTCACCACCATGGAGGCTGCAGTGCTGAACAGGACCAAGCTAAACACTGAACAGGCTTTTATGAGATCAGGAGCTGCAGTGGTTCTGTGGAGCTCTTCATGGAGATCAATCTGCATCTTCAGAGACTGTGACTCTGCTGAAGATTCTCATCACATCTCTTCTGACCACAGCTGAATCTGAGAGGAGCTGAACACTGAAGACAATCCAGACTTTCCTCAGGTACAACATCACATCACTGCACTGACCATGCTCTATAAGAATCTGGTTAAAACATCCCTGAATTAAACCAGAGTCATGAAGAAATTTGCTTCTCAGTAACAGGAGCAAAATTTATGTACTAAAAATAAAACACTACATGACATTGTAATGCTGTTTATTATTGTAATTTGTTTAATAAATATACTGGCGTGATACAACTTAGTACATGTTTGATTGCTTTTTGGGATACATCTATTTTGGAGTTGTAGCCCCACCTGGAGAAAATTCCACCAGCCGCCACTGCCAATGAACCACTGAAAAAGGCTTTAAATGAGTTTGTTACATATTTGTCTCGACACATCGAACATTACATCAGCGGAACAGCCCATGGCTTGAACAGATGTTAATTAAAGTCAGGATTTGTTCATGTTTAAAAAAAGCATTTTGGTAAAATTCRTCATTACAATCTTATAAAGTAAGGCTGTAGGCACCAGAAATTGTGAGAGCATCAGGAAAAGGTATCTTTACAGAAAGAATGACTTTCAGTATCCCCCCATTTTAAAACTGGATCCAGCTTGTCCCTGTTTGCTGGTACTGTACTCTTGCTGCACGTGTCTGGTGTGTGTGCTTTGATGTGTGTGAGGGAGGGGATACCATCAGGATCACGGGAGCGACTCCCTCACTCTCTCTGCTGTTCCAGAAATCCTCCCATCTGTCGCTCCTAATCAGCAGAGAGCAGCTTGTATGTTCACAGGGTCTTATACTGGGATGACATCCCCCCACAGAAACACACAGATTACACACTGTACGGCATCACACACACTCTGGATGTTACTCACTAAAGTAACGTCAGCAAACACACTGATGAGCTGCACAGTCTTTTAGTTAGTTTTTTTTTTTACAATAGACATTATTACTGCGCAAAATACAAAGAAATTTTTCAAAATAAAAGACTYGCCACCCAAAACAAATTAATCTTTCAATTTATTAGCACTTTATACTTTAATTTTCTGGTTCAGAACTGACAAACTTTATGAGCTAAAGTCATTATACTAATATTTAGCTGTTAGCATGGTGACAGTGGGACATTTGTCATCTATATGCTGTCAATTTAGAACAAAAATGTTTTACATTTATTAAACCCTATAAGTCAAATTGTAAGACAGATTTTTTTCTTATAAAGTAAGAGTTTTTTAAGCAAATATGAAGTTATGTTCTGTGTAAAAGGTATAAACAATATCTTAACACTGCTGARCTGGATTTTTTGTTGTAAGACAACTCCAATCTAACTCCATTTCAATCTTTACGCTATATCAATAGTGATCTTATTGGTAGATATATCACGTCATTCCTTCTGGATTTGTCCCAGGCTGTACCACAATAACTGCTRCTATTTGTGCTAACAAATAACCGTTTGGACTAGTTGTTAGCTTGTCAATACAGTCAGACCTAAACTTGTAAAATTTGGACRAAAACATCAGTCAACCTGTGGCATATCAAACACCCTTATCAGCTCCTCTGAAGACAGCATATACTGTAATCAAGTAGTACAAATGAAGAGAGAACTATTTTCTACCTAAATCAGTATGAAAAGGTTTTTGTTATGAAACTAATACAGAAGCGAGTTTAAATCCCGGCAGCACAGTCTAATAATAGCTGCAGCGTCACGAGATTTCTCTGACATATCTGTGTATCCCAGCATGAGGAAGATAAAAATATCTCTTTCTGCTTCTCAGTTTATACGTCACTGCCCACTTGCCAGTGTAAAYGCTAATCTCAGCCTTTCAGATTGGATAACAGACACTGAACCAACATGAGGTYACTGTACATCTGACACGAATGTAGCAAGAGAAATGTTGGTAAAGGAAGGAAAGACATATTAAAACATTTCCTCACTTGAAGACGACTAAAATAAAAAAGAAATTACAAAAATAGAAGTTACACAAAATCAATTAAAATTAATGAACAAAAAGACAAAAACTTGGTTCGGTAAACTCAACTGTACAAAGTTAACAGAACAAGAAATCAGCTTGGAGTTGTTTCARTTCTGAACATAGCTAAGAAAATTAATCCCCTGCATCATATTGTAGAACATAATGACATCAGAATCACTCAAAAACAATCTGTATGATGATTTTGGTATGTTRCACAAACAGCTGTAGTTCCACTGTAGGTCTCCAAAGATCTAAAGGTATCATTCAGGGATGAAACATTTTAAAAACTAATATTGTGATACTCTTTTTTTATTCAAAGGCTTTTAGGAAGGAGACCCAACWAAGTCAACATAGCAAGTAAAATACTGACAAATAGGATACTTATAAAGTACCTATGGTGCTCTATACAAGGTACTTTTGGGGATACYTGCAGAGTAATGACAGGGTACCTACATGGATATATACAGAACAAATATAAGGTACAGGGTAGATACAGGTATTTACCTTAATTACAACATATTCACAGGGTATTTAGGGTACATACCCTATAGGGTAATTAGAGGGATGTAAATTAGGGGTGTCAAACTCATTTTCATTAAGRGCTACATGAGCATTATGATGGCCCTCAAAGGGTCATTTACCTTTGACTAAACATAAACGTCATGTTCCACGTTTTATTGCTCTGACTGAGTGCCATTAGCATACAAAAACAGAGCTCTATGTAATATTTCCTGTATAGAAACAGCGTTTATCACGTCCTCTAAACACTGAAAAGTTATAAGTGTACGACTGACTGTGAAATGCATAATACTGAAAAGTTATTAAAAATAAAAGTAAGAGAGTTTTACTCACCGATGAGTTGTGGTGAATAAAATCCTCTTATATTCTAAACATAACTTAAATGGTACTTAAGAGGAACATAAAGGGCTAGGCTAGTTCAAGATGTTTACAAGGTACACATACGTACTTACATGATACAAGGATATAAACAGGGTAAGAACAGGTATTACTGGGGTGCTTAGAGGGAATGGGGCTGTTCTAAAGTGACGTGTTGCACTGTGCTGTGCCCCCGTATGCCTATATATTTAACAACACCTCAGTTCCATTTACCTTAAGTAAAAAAAAAAATACTTCACCAATTAGTTTTTTATACTGTTCAATTTGACTTCAGTTCTTATTGCCAAGGTTTTTTGTTGATCTCATCTGCTGTGTCTCCTCTGATCAGGTCTGTCCTGTGTTCCTGCCCTGCCACCTCGCCGGGGTTCCTTCTACGTGGAGAGTGGGACGGGCGTGTCCATTGGCAGCGTGTTGGCCTTCTGGTGCAGAGAGGGGTACCAGCTGGTCGGCAGYGACAAAATCTACTGTGACGTCAGAAGAGGCAAGGCACAGTGGAGCAACYACCTGCCTGTTTGTGAAGGTAAAATATTTTTCCCTCATGGTTGATTTAAACCCAACTTACCTYGTGTCCATGCAAATGTGTCATACATTACTAATATCTTAAGAAAAAGGGACAGAAATTAAAATGAGGAACAACTCAATGATCTATCAACATGACCAGCCGTTGTTTTTCCCTCAGCGATTCCCAGACCAGAGGACCGTGGGCTGAGAGTGGCTGTGTTGGCTTCAGTTGTGAGTGGAATCGTCATTTTCGCCATGTCCTTGTCTTTCCTCGTTTGCTGCCTGCAGGAGCGATCTGGTCGCGACCATGCCAAAAAAGACGGCCGAAGCAGGTGGGACAGGAAACCGAGGCGGAATGCCTTTTGGATGTTCTCAAACTGGAGTAACCTGATAAAACTCTGTTACTGTCAGACGCAGAGATAAGAGAGCGAGCCGCCGYAGTGACTGCTGGCTGGAGACGGAGGAAGGAGAGTGGGAGGCGTTTCCTCCTCCTAAGATCTTCCACCTGTCCCAAAGGATGAATCCTCGTCTGGCTCCCGACAGCCCCCTCTACTTGACAGGAGGCCTCAGTGGGTACGAGAACAGAGGATACCAAAGGTGAACCATTAGTAGTTGACTTTATAGGGAATATTGCATATAGTGGATTTTGCATATGTACCCTTTAAAACAGAATGCCATACCATACTTAAACAATACAACATCATAAAATGATGGTTAAAATGACTCCAGTGTCTTCCATCATCTACATTTGGAGTGTGGAGTCTGCAGATATGCTGTACCATCAATATAAAAGTCTTGCCTACACACCTACCCATACGTGGCAGTGGCCATGGTATGAATAAAACCCAGTTTTTTAATAAACACATGTCTACCAATAAACTTAACATCCAGGAAATGCAAAATAAACCAACGGAAAGGTTTGGAACAAACAGCCATAGAGCACGTAACTGTCCCCAAAACCCCAGGAAAAACTGAAGAAGCAGACTACAGAGAACTGAATGGTGTGCCCTGAAGTGGGTAAGTACCAGGGTTAGGAATGTAGTCTGTGAATGTAGCCACCAAATCCAGAACATGGATCATCTTTTCACTTCCTGTACCTTAAGTCTGGTACATCTAACATCTGCAGACCTCTGTCAGGTCATCAATATGATGATGATGATGATGATGATGAT